GGGGATGGGGCGGGGGGGGAGGTTGGGTGACCCCCTCCTCTTTTCCTCAGCCCACCCCCAGCTGGCCGCATGCAGGTGTGGGGGGGCTGCATCCCGCCCCTCCCCCCGTGCCGGGGCCTTCATCCCCGGCTGGTACCCGAGCCCATCCCTTCCTCATCATCCCCTGAGCGGGGGGCGATGCTGCGGCCCCCCCGATCCAGCCCGGTTTCCAGCCCGGTTCCCAGCCCGGTTCTCGCTCCCCCCCCGCCCTGCGGCTGCCGCAGCGGCGCTGGGCGCGGCGCGGGCGGAGGCGGGGAGGGGAGGGGGATGCTGGGATGGGGAACCAGGGTGGGGGTCCCGGCCCAGCCCCCCACGCCTTCTCCGGGGGCTGTCCGGGCCCTGCGGCTGGGGGTCACCGCGGCCCCCCCGGATTTATCCCGCCCGGTGAGACAGGTGCGCTCCGAGCAGCGAAATCTGGGGGTCCCCTCCTGCCCTGAGCGGGGAGGGGACTGGGGGTCACCCCCGGGTGTGGGGGAGCGGCCCTGCCCTGTGTTTTGGGGGGGCCCTTGGCAGCAGCATCCCCAGAGTGCTCGATGACCTGGAGGAGAGGGGAGGGTCCTTTGGGGGTCTTATCCGCGGCGGTTTTGGGGTCGCTGGGCCGGGAACCTCCCCCCGTGTGGCGGCAGCGTGGCGCCGAGCCCCCCATAGTGGGTGACCCCAATTTGGGACTGGGGTCGTGGGGGTGCGCCCATCAGTGCCACGAGCTGTGCCTGTTCTCAGCCCCATCCCTGCCCTGAGCTGTGCCCGTTCTCAGCCCCCATTCCTGCCCTGAGCTGTGCCCGTTCTCAGCCCCATCCCTGCCCGTTCTCAGCTGTGCCGAGGGCTGTCACCCAGCCTGGGCAGTGTCCCCTCCCCGGCGTCCCCAAGCTGTCCCCTGGTCCCGGCCAGGGCGGCTCCCCTCTGCCCTTATCAGCGGGCCGCAGCTGCTCCGTGTTTTCGGTGCTTTCCCCCCAATCTGTACCCCGGGGGTGCTGACGCCGCGTGTCCCCGCGTGTCCCCGTGTCCCCAGGATGAGCACGGCCGCCAGCCCCGAGCCCCTGCCCGAGCCCCCCGCCCCGGGGCCGCGCTGTCCCCCCCAGGAGGACGCCGAGTTCCTGCGGGCGCGGAGCGGGGCCGGGGACCTGCGCCAGGACTTCAACCTGATGGAGCAGAAGAAGCGGGTGACAATGATCCTGCAGAGCCCGGTGAGCCCCCTGCCCCCGCTGGCCCTGTCCCCACCGCCATCCGCCTGTCCCCAAACCCTGTCCCTGCTGTCTCCAACCTTTTCCTTTACGTCCCCCAAACCATACCGCCTGTCCCCAAACCCCTTCTTCGTGTCCCCAGCCTCTTCTCTTCTGTCCCCCACCCCACCCCTCCTGGCCCAAATCCCGTCCCTCCTGTCGCCAACCCCTTCTTGTCGCTGCCCCATCCTTTGTTGTCCCCGCCCCATCCCTCCTGTCCCCAAGCTAACAGATGTCACCACACGGTGGTGCGTGTCCCCACCTGGCAGTGCCACTGCCACCGTGAGCTGCCAGTGCCACTGTGCCAGCAAGCCAGCGGTGTCCCCGACACCAAACTGCCAGTGTCACCTGCACCGTGCCACCAATCTGGTGGTGCCACCATCGCCACTGTGGCACCAAGCTGGTGACGCTGTCCCCACTGCCATCACCGTGCCACCGAGCCGGCGGTGCTGCCCCCGCCCCGATGTGCCACCCAGCCCGTTGTCACCCTGTCCCCATCCTGCAGTCCTTCCGGGAGGAGCTGGAGAGCCTCATCCAGGAGCAGATGAAGAAGGGGAACAACTCATCACACGTGTGGGCGCTGCGGCAGATCGCCGACTTCATGGCCACCACGTCCCCTGCCGCCCTGCCCACCTCCCCCATGGGTACGTGGGGCTCTCTGGGGACGAGGGGCAGGGTGGGAAAAACCCCAAAACCTTGGGGGGCACCAAATCTTGGCAGCCTTGGGACCTCCAAATCTCATAAAAACCTTTGAGACCTTCAGGGGCCTCAAATGCTTTGGGACCACCAAACCTTTGGGACCTTGAGGACCCCAAAAACCTTTGGTGTCATCAAACCTTTGAGACCACCAAACCTTGGGACCTTGAGGACCCCCAAAACCTTTGGTGTCACCAAACCTTTGAGACCCCCAAATCTTGGGACCTTGAGGACCTCAAAAACATTTGGTGTCACCAAACCTTTGAGACCACCAAACTTCGGGGGCCCCTAAACTTTTGGGATCTTGGGGACTCCCAAACCTTTGGAAACATCAACTATTTGGGACCTTGGGGTGCCACCAAACCCCTGGCATCCCCCAAATTTTTTGAGACCCACCAAATCTTTGGGCCCATCAAACCTGGGGGACCACCAAACCTTTGATGCCTCAGGGACCCCCAATCTTTTGTGGCCACCAAACCTTTGATGCCTCAGGGACCCCCAAATATTTTGTGGCCACCAAACCTTGATGTCCAGCAAACCTTTGGATCCACCAAACCTTGCCAGCCACCAAACCTCTCCCCACAACCTGGTGAGCCCCCCGTGGTTTTGGGGGGTCCCACGGCTGACAGGGGGTCCCCAATCCCCAGGGCTGGCATCTGTCACCCCCATCAATGACCTGCACGGGACAGAGGGGCCAGCACTGGCCAAGGGCGAGCGGCTGATGCGCTGCAAGGTGGGCAGCATCCACCGCCTGCTGGACCTGTACGGCTGGGCACAGCTGGGACACGCCGCTGTCACCGTGAGCACCCCAAAAAAACCCAAAATTAGGGGGCCTGGGGTTGCCCTGGGGGGATTTGGGGTTGTTTTGGGGGTTCAATACCTCCTGGGCTGGTACAGGCTTGGCACACCTGGGACATGCTGTTGTCACTGTGGGCACCCCAAAACCAGCTCAGAGGGAATGGGGAGGGCTGGAAAGGATTTTGAGGGTGTTCAGGGTTGTTTTGGGGGGATTTAAAGGGGTTTTTTTTGGGGGGTGGGACCTGCTGGGCCTGTACAGACAGACACAGCTGGGGCACATCACGTCACTGTGAGCACCCCAAAACCCCAGGGAGGTTTGGGGTTGTTTGTGGGGGATGTTGGGGGAATTTTAAGTTATTTTGGTGGGATTTGTTGGGGTTTGGGACCTGCTGGACCTGTTCAACTGGGCACAGCTAGGGCACACCACCAACACCACCAGCACCCCAAAACCTGTACGGGGGGATAGGAGGGTTGGGGGTGCTTTGGGTTTGAGGAGGAGTTGAGGGAGTTTGTTGAGGAGATTGTGTTGTGGTTTGAGATGTGGGGATTTGGGTGGATTTTGGATTTGGAGTGGCTATTTTGGGGTTTTCTTGGGGGGAATGGGGTTTTGGATGGTTGAGATATGGAGCTTTTTAGGAATTGGGGTTCTTTTGTAGGATTTTGGGCGGTTTAGTGGATTTTGGAAGGTTGGGAGCTGTTGGGCTCTTAGAGAGATGTTGGTGATTTTGGGGGGTTCTGGACATTGGAGGTGGGTTGGGATTTTGAGGGTTTGTGGGTTGTTATTTTGGGGGGCATTTCGTGGGGTTTTGGGGTTGTTGTTGGGTTCCTTCAGAGAGCTGCTTTGGGTGGGTTTTGGGGTTGTTGTTGGGTTCCTTCAGAATATTCTTTTGGGGGGCAGTTTGTGGGGTTTTGGGGTTGTTTTCGGGGTGTTGGCTTGGGGGGAAGTTTCTGAGACTTTTGAATGGTTTAGGGGCAATCAGGGAGGTGTGGGTCTTTCGAGGGATGTTCATTTTGGGATTTTTTCGGTCTGTTTCTCCCCCCACCCTTTCCCCCGTGGCAGCTGCGGGTCAGCAAGGAGCAGGAACACTTCTTGGTGGCCCCACAGGGCCTGGCGTGCAGCGAGGTGACAGCAGCCAGCCTGGTGAGCCCCCCACCACCCACCCACCCTCCCTCCGGGGGCTGGCGCAGCCCCCTGACCCCCTCCACGTGCCCCCCCAGGTGAAGGTGAACGTGCTGGGGGCCGTGGTGGAGCAGGGCAGCACCGGCTTCGCTCCCGACGCGCGCAGCTTCAGCCTGCACGCCGCCATCTACGCGGCGCGCCCCGACATCCGCTGCATCGTGCGGCTGCACACCCCCGCCGCGGCCGCCGTACGCATGAGCTGGCACAGCTCTCAACCCCTCATTTCCATCCCTGTGCCCTCAGCTGTGCCTGTCTGAGCTCAGCCAGAGTGCTCCAGGAGCATGGCATGAGCTGTGCCAGGTGTCTGCGGGCGGCGCGGAGACCCTGATCGTGCTGGGGCGGGCGGCGCAGCGCGGGCCCCACGGGCCGGGCGCCGTGCGCCGCGCCGGGGCCACCTTCGGGCCCCTGCACAAGAGCCGCCTGGGCGAGCACGAGTTCGAGGCACTCATGAGGATGCTGGACAACCTGGTGAGCGCCAAAACCCGCCCGGGCCGCCCCAAAACTGTGATAAAACAGACAGGAGTCGGTCGCTTCATTCAGGAAAGGCTCTGCTCTATTCCCATAGAAATATCAGAATGCTCTGGGTTAAACCTAAGTGCACACCAGTTCAGTGCTTGGTAAGGGCTGTGGAATATAATCAAATTTTCTCTTTCTAGATATGTTCACTGATTTTCATGGGACAGACCTGTCACTCTCGTGCTGAGAATAACACAGGAGGCAGTATTGTAGAAAGAGCAAAGCAGCTTTATTCAAGAGAACTGCGAGGTTTTTATGCAGTGATATGATAGGTTCTATTTGATTGGCTAATTAACAAAAACACCTTCCTCACACACCGTCCTTGAGAAGAACAGAAAGATGAAGTAGAAAAACGCCACCTGCAGATTATTTATACTTAACAAGTTATCACATCCTTACAACACCCTAAAAATTCTCACAAGCCACTGTGACAAACGCTTGCTGTTTCTCTCTCTGTTCCATTGCAGACCTATAGTTTATGCAGGTACAAAAGGTGCTTTCACTAAAATAGGTTATTGTGCTAGTTGTTTCCTCATTCCTCTAATTCTTCTTTATGGAATAAATCCTTTTCTTTGTAACATCTCTGCCTGTAACAAAAACACGCTCCAAGGCCTCATTTACCCCCCGTGGCTGACTCCCCTCTCGGTGCTTTCCCAGGGTTACCGCACGGGGTACACGTACCGCTACCCCTTCGTGCAGGAGAAGAGCAAGCCCAAGAGTGACGTGCTGATCCCCGCCACCGTCACGGCCTTCGTCTTCGAGGAGGAGCCCGCCGGGACCCCTGCCCTGCGCCAGCACGCCCAGAAGCAGCAGAAGGAGAAGACCAGGTGGCTCAACACGCCCAACACCTACACCAGGGTCAACCTGGCCGAGGAGCAGCAGGGCAGCGCCAGTGGGCAGAGGACAAAGACCACGGTGAGGGACACGGGGGGCAGCAGGGGCCTGGGGATGGAGGGACAGGGAGGTGGAGGGTGTGCTGGTTATGGATCCCATGAAAATCTGGGGTGTAGGGAGGTCTGGGGACCACCTGCATCCTGCAATAATGATTATTTTGAAATGCCACCAATGATTATTTTGAAATGCCACCACCCCATTCTAGTGGGGCAGAGTGCTGTTGGCTTTATTGGGGGTCTTCCCTCTGTGCAAGGTGCATTTACTGGGGTCTCTCCTCCATGTAACACCTGTTATTAAGATCTCCCCTCTACACAATATGCTTTTTTTGGGGTCTTCCTGTATTACTGGGGTCCACCTTCTATGTATGATGCACTTAGGTAAACAAGGAGTGTTTATTGGGGTCTTCCTGCATTTATGGTGCTTCCCCTCTACATTGGGGTCTTCCCTCCATACAAGTTGCATTTGTCGGGGTCCCCCTTCCATCCTGGGGGTCTCCTCTTCCCCAAACCCCTTTCCTGGCTTTGCAGTGGCTGCGTGCAGACGAGGTGGAGAAGGGCAGCAGTGGGACCCCCATCCGCATCGAGAACCCCAACCAGTTCGTGCCGCTCTACACGGACCCGCAGGAAGTGCTGGAGATGCGCAACAAGGTGGGCTGGGCTGGGGGACAGCGGGGCCTGGGGGGCTCAGCCCTGTCCTTGGAGGGGGGATTGAGCCCTGTCCTGCCCCACAGATCCGCGAGCAGAACCGCCAGGACGTGAAATCAGCCGGGCCCCAGTCGCAGCTGCTGGCCAGCGTCATCGCCGAGACCAGCCGCAGCCCCGTATGGCACCTGGCACCTGTGTCACCCCGTGTCCCCAGCCCCGTGTCACCCCGTGTCCCCAGCCCCATGACATCCTGTGTCCTCAGTCACAGCTGCTGGCCAGCGTCATCACTGAGACCAGCCGCAGCCCCGTATGGCACCTGTGTCACCCCATGTCCCCAGCCCCATGTCCCCAGCCCTGTGTCACCCCATGTCCCCAGTCACAGCTGCTGGCCAGTGTCATTGCTGGGACCAGACACAGTCCTGTCCCCCCGTGTCACCCAATGTCCCCGCTATATCTCCAAGCCAATATTACCCTGTGTCACCTCTTGTCCCAAGCCCCACATGCCCAACCCCAAGTGCCTCTTCCAGAGCACCCAGCCCTTCCCTGGTTCCACAGCTCTGGGGCAGTGACACCACTCTGAGGGCAGAAGGGACACTGCTCAGGGGTGGGGGACACTGCTTGGGGGGGACACACTGCTTGGGGTGAGGGGTGGGGCTGTTGACACAGTTCCAGAGGGTGTGACACCACTCTGGAGGGGTGACATCTCTCCAGAGGGGGTTGACACTGCGCCAGGGATGTGACGCCACTCTGGGGGTCTGTTTCAGTCCACTGAGAGCCACCTGGGGGACACAGAGGCCAAGGAGGGCGGGGAAGAGGCTCCCCCTGAGCCAGAGCCCCCCAACCCCTTCAGCCAGCTCACGGACCAGGAGCTGGAGGAGTACAAGCAGGAGGTGGAGAGGAAGAAGCGCCTGCAGGGTAGGAGAGACCCCCAAACCCCCAGAGAGCCCTGGGTGGCACTGAGGGGACCCGGGGCCAGCGTGTCTCTCTGTGGCAGGCGAGAAGGACGCGGCCGCAGAGGACAGCGGGGCTCCCCCCCCAGAGCCACCCCCTCCGGAGCCCCCGGCGCCTGCGGAGCCCACGGAGGGTGAGTGGGGTGACGAGCACCCCAAAACGAAGGCTGGGGTCCCAGTGAGCAGCAGGAGTGGGGGGACAAGGGCGGCTGTGGCCGAACGGCGCTGAGACGCAGCTCGCTGTCACCTCGTGTCACCTCGTGCTGTCACCCCGCTCCAGAGGGGCCGATGGCGATGGTGGCAGGAGGACGTGAGCTCTGCCGGAGGCTTTGTGGGGCGCAGGGGACAGCCCTGTCCCCCATGCCAGTCCCCACGCTCCGTTCCCATTGTTCCGACCCACAGCGGGTGCCGGGGCGCGGCTCGGGGCTGCTGGCTCTGCCATGGTGTCTCGTGGTGTCCGTCTGTCTGTCTGTCTGTCTCCACAACGTCTCCTTTCTCTTTCCTCCCCGTGTGCCTGTCACCCAAGGAGTTATCCCTGAATCCCTGGCGCCGTAGTAAGTACGGAGAGGCCACCCCGGATGAGGGACGAGGGACAGGGGCTCGGGGGGATCTTCGGTCTCCATGGAAATCCCGTAGGAAATCCCCTGGGGAATCCCTCCTCGTTGTTGCTTCCTGCTTCTCCCGCTGCCTCTTCCCGGCTCTCCATCCCACATCGCTTGTCCCGCAGGGAGGGGGCGGCTCAGGGGAGCGGTGCCTGGGGCAGGACAGGATCAAATCCCAACCTTCTCCACTCGTGGAGGCCAAATCCTGCTCCTGCCCAGGCCCCACTGGACTTTTGGGGGACAAACCCCCCTACAACAGCGGTGCTGCTGCCCCAATTCCCTCTTCCCTCTCCCCTTCCCAAGGTGATAAGAAGGCCGATGGTGGCCAAGCCCCCCCTGATTCCACTGCCAAGAAGGAGCCACCGGCGGTGGTGAACGGGAAGGATGAAGAGCAAAGCACTGAGGAAAACCTTGGAAAAGGGGGGACAGACCGGACAACCACCAACGCTGACCAGGACGCCCCCAAGGAGAAGGAGACAGTGACCAGCAACCCCGTGTCCCCCGACGGTTCACCCTCCAAATCACCCTCCAAAAAGAAGAAGAAATTCCGGACCCCGTCTTTCCTGAAAAAAGGCAAAAAGAAGGAAAAGATCGAATCCTGAGCCTCCCGAGGCCTCGCGCGTGGGATCCCCGGGATCTCTGAGACCCCTGGAATCTGGCTGATTTCCGGGCCCTCCTGGCACAAGGCACCTCGTCCCCCTTGTCACCCGCCTCTGGGGGCGGTCACCGAGCTTAGAGAGACTGTGGTCCCCGTTTGGGGAGACTCCCGCTGCACCTCCCTCCCCCCTCTCCCTCCTGGGCTCCGGCCCCTTCCCACCGCGGGCCGAGGGTTGGATTTGCTCCACCAGAGCCCAGGTGTGCTTGATTTGAGGAAGAAAAGGGTGTTTTGTGGTTATTTTCTTCACCTTCTGTTTCAAGCTCTGCTGGAATGGCGCTGGCTTCATCCCCAGGGAAAAGTGTCCATCGCTTTGCCAGGAGAACGGGATCGAGCTGATCACTTTTCCTCAAGGAGGAGCTGAGGTTTTTCCTCCCTGGATATTGTAATCTTCCTCTCCGTGGGCTCAAGAACCACTTCATCCCCTTCTCCTGGTACTCCCAGCCCGTGTTTTCCCCACGCAAGGAAGAGCAGCAGGATTTCCCACCGCTGGAAAAGCCCCCACCTCACTGCACGACCCGCACCTGGGAAAATAGGGAAAAAAAACAAACCCTCCGGGAATTGTCTGTGTTATTTAAAACTCAGCAAAACTCACTCACTAAGTGCTACTTCGGGATGAACACACGCTGCCAGCTCCTGCTGGCCTCTGCTCACGGCCACGCTGGCCCCCCTGCTTTTCCCAGCTCTGGAATTCCCAGCACAAGTTCCATCCTTCCTGGCGTTCCCTTCCCTCCCAGCGTTACAACCTCCTGGCCACCCCCGTGCCCGTGTCCCCCACAGCCCTTCCAGCGCTGGGATTTGGGGATAAATCACCGGGATCAGGCCCCACATCCTCCCCCTTTCCTGGGGGGCTCGCCCTGAGCCTTGCTGTGTCCATGGAGCCCTGCCCAGGAGGTCTGGAATGCCCCAAAATCCCGTTTGGGGTTCCCCCAGCCCAGCAGGCTTTTCCATCACTGTGGTTTCAAACCCTTTCACTGCTGTGAGACAACTCGTGGGGGTTGGAGACCCTCTGGAAGAGCAGGAAGCCCATGGAACAGGGGTTTAGGAAACAGCAGGGAGAGCCCAGGCAGGGATGTTGCCAGAGCTCCAACCTGATCCTGGATTTTGGGAAGAGCCTTTGCCCTGCCCAGTGTCCCCCCAGAGGTCCCCATCCCGCTCCTGCAGGATGGGGGGCACCGAGGGGACACTCTGAGCCCCTAAGCCCGGTCACTGGGGGGGCTGTTCCTCACTGCCACTGATTTTAAGGCTCTTTGAGGCCATTTTTGTCCCTGGGCCTGTTCCACCTGGGTGAGCCAGGGCAGCAGAGCCTGCAGAGACAGCCGTGTCACCTCCCTGGGGTAGCACTGTCACACCTGGGGGCAATTCCTGAATGACAGCACTGCCACACCCCCAGCCCAACCCGGGGGCTCCCCCAGGGGTTTTGTCCCTGAAAGTGTGGCCCCAGGGCCTCTGTCACCCCTTTTCTCCCCAAGGTTCTGTCCCTGGGGCCTTTGTCACCCTTTTTCCAAGGGCCACTGGCTTTGCAGGGATTGACTTCCCCTTCCATGAAGTTCCAGGTAGAAAGGGACGAAGGCTCCAGTGCCACCATCATCACCACGATGGAGGGCCACAGAGCCAAGATCACACCCTGGGACCACCCATCAGGAAATTCCCCAGCTCCCCCTCCCCTCACCCCAGCAAGACTCAGGGTGAGGCAAATCCCTGATCCTCCACATCCACACCTCCGCTGGAAAAGAGGCTGAAACCACCTTGGCAGCGGGGAAGGGCGAGTCCAGCCGGGCTCAGCACCTCTCCTCCCACCCACCGGGGCAGGTCCGGCTGGCAGGGCGGGTGCTGGACCCCCGGAGTGGCACCGGGAGGAGCCGGGGTGTGGCACGTCCCCCGCGTGTGACAATCGGGGCCGGGAGCGCGCGGAACGCCGGTGTAAATAAACCCCGTGTTTGGCACCCGGCAGCTCGGAGCCTGAGGGATGGGGACGGGGACTGAAATGGGGATGGGAGAGGTGGGAATGGGGATGGAAGCGGAGTTGGGAGGGGATGGGGTGAAGATGGGGATGGTCATGGGACAGGGATGAAGGTGGGAATGGGATGGGGATGGAGGTGGAGGGGATGATGGGGATGATGGGGATGATGATGGGACATCATCCCATCATGAGGAGGGGATGGGGTGAAGATGGGGATAGTGATGGGAATGGGATGGGGATGGAAATGGGAAGGGGATGGAGGCAGCAATGGGGATGGGGGTGAAGGTGGGAATGAGATGATGGGGATGATGATGGGATGGGGGTGGAGGTGGGAATGGGATGGGGATGGAAGCAGAGGTGAGGAGGGGATGGGGTGAAGATGGGGATGGTGCTGGCCATGGGATGGGGATGATGGGGACAGTGATGGGACAGGGATAGAGATGGGAATGGGATGGGGATGGAGGTGGCAAGGGGGATGGGGATGAGATGGATATGGGGATGGGATGGGAATGGAGGTGGGAATGCGAAGGTCCCCTCAGGCTCGGTCCCCTCAGGTTCGGTCTCTTCAGGCCGGGTCCCCTCAGGTTCGGTCTCTTCGGGCCCGGTCCCGGCCGGGTCCCCTCGGGCCGGGGCGCCGTGGGAGCAGCAGCGCGGGGCTGAGGGGCGGCCATGGGCCGCAGCCGCTCCCGGTCGCCGCCGCGGCGGGGTGAGGAGGCACCGGGGCACCGGGGGGATCCAGGGAGGGACGGGAGCGGCGGGGAGGTCAGGGGGAACCCGGGGGACGGGGCGCGGGAGGTCGGGGTGGAAGGGCCGGGGTTGGGGGGACTGGGACGCTGCAGGGCGGGGAGGCCCCGGTTCCTCGCTCTGGGGGAGAACAGAGACTGCTCGCTCATCCTCCTCGTCTTCCTCCTCCTCCATCTCTTTTCCTTCTCTTCTTCTCTTCCTCCTCCTCTCCTTTTCCTCCTTCTCTCCCTTCCCATTCTTCTCTATTCCTTCTCTTCTTCTCTGCTTTCTTCTCCTCTTCTCTTCCTCCTCTCCTTTTCCTCCTTCTCCCCCTCCCCATCCTTATCTCCTCCTCCTCTCCTTCTCTTCCTTTCCTGCCACCCCTCTCCACCTTGCTCAGGTTTTTGGGGACCCTCACCCCCTCCCGGCTGATCCCCCCCGGGTGATTTCCCCCTGGCTCATTTCCCCGCTCCAGCTGGAGCCTTTTCCTGCTGCTCCTTCCTGGGGGTGCCCAGAGAGGTCCGTGAGCCCAGAACTGCCCTGGGGGGTGGGCAGGGCAGTCGCGGGGTCTGCGCCGGGATTTTCTGTGGGATTTGCTTGGGGAAGCGGGCAGGGAGCAGCAGCTGAGCCTTCCCCGGGCAGAGCGCCGGCGCTCGCGTTCCACGTCCCGGGACAGGGACAGGCGGCGGCGGGAGCGATCGCGGTCCCGGGACAGGGACAGGAGGAGGAGCCGCTCCCGCTCCCCGCACCGGAGACGGTCCAGGTGAGGGCTGGGGCATCCAGGTGAGGGTGGGGGACAGCCAGGTGATGGCAAGAATGATCCAGGTGAGGGCAGAGACATCCAGGTGAGGGTGGGCGCTGTCCAGGTGATGGCAGGAATGATCCAGGTGAGGTCAGGGACATCCAGGTAAGGGCAGGAATGATCCAGGTGAGGGTAGGGATGATCCAGGTGATGGCAGGAACATCCAGGTGAGGGTGGACACTGTCCAGGTGATGGCAGGAATGATCCAGGTGAGGGAAGAGACATCCAGCTGAGGGTAGGGATGATCCAGGTGATGGCAGGGACATCCAGCTGATGTTAGAAATGATCCAAGTGAGGGCAGGGACATCCAGGTGATGGGAGGGGTGATCCAGGTGAGGACAGGGATATGATGGCAGGGACATCCAGATGATGGCAGGGATGACCCAGATGATATTAGGAATGATCCAGGTGACGGCAGGGATGATCCAGGTGAGGACAGGAACATCCAGGTGATGTTAGGAATGCTCCAGGTGAGGGCAGGGGTGATCCGGGTGATGTTAGGAATGACCCAGGTGAGGGGAAGGACATCCAGGTGATGTTAGGAATGATCCAGGGGATGGCAGAGATGATCCAGGGGATGGCAGGGGTGATCCAGGTGAGAGCAAGGACATCCAGATGATGTTAGGAATGATCCAGTGATGGCAGGGGTGATCCAGGTGAAGGCAGGCACATCCAGGTGACGTTAGGAATGCTCCAGGTGAGGGCAGGGGCAGCAGCGAGGGTGGGCCCAGCTAGGTGAGGGCACCCTGGGCGGCCCAGGGGCAGCAGGAGCTGCAGGGGGGGATTCCAGGTGGGAGTTCCAGGTGGGGATTGCAGCCCCAGCTGTGTGCCCCGGCAGGTCCCCGCGCCGGCACCGCTCCAGCTCCTCATCACCAGCACGGCCCAAGGAGCGCCGCGACGAGGAGAAGAAGGAGCTCAAGGACTCCAAGAAGGAGAGGCAGATCACAGGTGAGGGGGGTTCCCCTCCTGGAGCACCCCTAGGTGCCCCCTGCACCCAGGAACACCTGGATTGTTGGGAATCCCAGCACCCCGCTGCTCAATCCCCGATTTTCTCCCCTCAGAGGAGGATCTGCAGGGCAAGACAGAGGAGGAGATCGAGATGATGAAGATGATGGGCTTTGCCTCCTTTGATACCACCAAGGTGAGCGCCACGCCGGGGGCTCTGCGGCGTCAGCTGCCCTGTTTGGGGAGAATCCATGGGATTTTGGGATTTTCTCCTCAGGGGAAGAAGGTGGACGGCGCTGCCAATGCCTACGCCATCAACGTGTCCCAGAAGAGGAAGTACAGGTGTGTCCCCTGCTTTGGGATAGGAGTTTGTTTTGTGAGGTGGCTGTGGCCACTGTCCCACCGTGATCCGGCTTCCAGGCCTGGGGAAAGGGAAATTTGGTGAGGTTCAGACCCAAAAGCAGAGGTGACAGTTCTCCAGATGCCCGTGGGAATGGGGAAATGAGGAGGAGGAGGAGGATTGAGGAGCACTTTAGGAACAGGTGGGGTGAGGCCTGGACAGGATCAGAGCCACACTGCTCACCTGCTTTATCCCAAAAAAACACCCACATTGTCAATTCTGCTCCTTTCTGGGCTCCTGTGAGCAGCTCCTGCCCCCCTTTTGCTCAGATCCCTGGGGAATTGTGTTCCCTGGGGCTGAGCCTGGCTCCATGCTCGCCCAGGCAGTACATGAACAGAAAAGGAGGATTCAACAGGCCCCTGGATTTCATCGCCTGACGCTGGCACACGCCTCCCTCCACGGAGGATTTCGCTGCCCTGCACCCTCCTGGGTGGCTCCAGTGCTGGATTCCAGTGGGATTTGGGTTATTCCCAGCAAATCCCACAGCCAGAGCCGCCACCAGTTCCCAGATATTTGTTATTTTATTTTTTTTTTTTAGAACAAAGGTCAGTTTCTGGCTGGGATTTTGCTGTGTTCTCCCGGGCTTTGGTTTGTTTCCTGTTAATAAAACCCCGGATGTATTTTTTCCTTTCATTTCTATCATTCAGAGAATGAAGCGGGGCCTCCATTCCCCCTCCCACAAACCCTTGGGGTGACACAGGCTCTGTCCCTGTCCCAGGGGTCCCTGTCCCCATCCCGGGGGTCCCGGTCTCTGTCCCTGTCCCCATCCTGGGGGTCTCTGTCACTGTCCCCATACCAGGTGTCCCTGTCTGGGGGTCCCCATCCCGGGGCTCTGTCCCCATCCCGGGGCTCTGTCCCCATCCTGGGGGTCCCTGTCCCCATCCTGGGGGTCCCTGTCCAGGGGTCCCTGTCCCCATCCCGGGGCTCTGTCCCCATCCCGGGTGTCCCTGTCCCCATCCCAGGGGTCCCTCTCCCTCTCTCTGTCCCTGTCCCCATCCCAGGCCCCTGTCCCCATCCCGGGTCCGTGTCCCTGTCCCCAGCCCCGGTGTCCCTGTCCCCATCCCGGGTCCCTGTCCCTGTCCCCATCCCCGGTGTCCCTGTTCCCATCCCCGGTGTCTCTCTCCCTGTCCCCATCCCCGGTGTCCCTGTCCCTGTCCCTGTCCGTGCTTACGTTGCCCGACGTACCCGAGGCCCCGCCCCCTCCCCGTTCCGGCCCCGCCATTGGCCGAGCGGCAGGAAGTGAGTCAGGGCCGAGCGTGCGGCCAGCGGGGCGGGGCCGGCCGCGTGGGCGGGGCGCCGCGGGGAGGGTCGGACCAATGGCAGGAGGGCGTGGCGCTCTCATCCAATCGCGCCGAGCGGTGGGCGTGCCCTCAGGCGCGGCCACGCTCCCTCTCCGCCGCTCGTGGCGGCGCTGGGCGTGGCCTCCCCTCCATCCTCCAATCACCGGCGGCGCTGGGCGGGGCCTGTCCTGTCCCCGGCCAATGAGCGGCGGCGGGGGCGTGGCGCGCGCGGGGTCTGGCGGAGCGGCGCTCGGGGCGGGCAGAGGCCGCCGCTCCTGGTGAACCCGCGGGCACCGGCCGGGCTGACAGCGCCGGGGGGCCCCGTGGGCCCGCTGCTCCCGGGCCTGGGGCCGGGCCCGGCCGGCTCCCGGTGCCCGGGCTCTGCTGGGGCCGTCCCGGGGGTGCCACAAGGCCGGGACACCTCCTGTGCCCGGTGTGTGGGGGACAGGGCGCTCCTGCTGGCACTGGGTGTGTGACAGACCAGGGACCCTGCTGCCATCGGGTGACACAGCTCAGGGAGCTCCTGCTGTCACTGGGTGTGTGACAGACCAGGGACACTGCTGCCATCGGGTGACACAGCTCAAGGAGCTCCTGCTGGCACTGGGTGTGTGACAGGATTGGGGACCCTGCTGCCACCCTGTGACACAGCCCAAGGAGTTCCTGCTGTCACTGGGTGTGTGACAGGATTGGGGGCCCTGCTGCCATCGGGTGACACGGCCCAGGGAGCTCCTGTTGTCACAGGGTGTGTGACAGACCAGGGACCCTGCTGCCACCCGGTGACACGGCCCAAGGAGTTCCTGTTGTCACTGGGTGTGTGACAGACCAGGGACACTGCTGCCACCCGGTGACACGGCCCAAGGAGTTCCTGTTGTCACTGGGTGTGTGACAGACCAGGGACCCTGCTGCCATCGGGTGACACGGCCCAGGGAGCTCCTGCTGGCACTGAGTGTGTGACAGCACTGGGGACCCTGCTGCCACCCTGTGACACAGCTCAGGGAGCTCCTGTTGTCACTGGGTGTGTGACAGCACTGAGGACCCTGCTGCCATCATGTGACAGGATTGGGGACCCTACTGCCACCCTGTCACCTGGCTGAGGGAGCTCCTGCTGGCACTGGGTGTGTGACAGGATTGGGGACCCTACTGCCACCCTGTCACCTGGCTGAGGGAGCTCCTGTTGTCACTGGGTGTGTGACAGACCAGGGACACTGCTGCCATCGGGTGACACAGCTCAAGGAGCTCCTGCTGGCACTGGGTGTGTGACAGGATTGGGGACCCTGCTGCCACCCTGTGACACAGCTCAGGGAGCTCCTGCTGGCACTGGGTGTGTGACAGCACTGGGGACCCTGCTGCCACCCTGTGACACAGCTCAGGGAGCTCCTGTTGTCACTGGGTGTGTGACAGACCAGGGACACTGCTGCCACCCGGTGACACGGCCCAAGGAGTTCCTGTTGTCACTGGGTGTGTGACAGCACTGAGGACCCTGCTGCCATCAGGTGACACGGCCCAGGGAGCTCCTGTTGTCACTGGGTGTGTGACAGACCAGGGGCCCTGCTGCCATCGGGTGACATGGCTGAGGGAGCTCCTGCTGTCACTGGGTGTGTGACAGACCAGGGACACTGCTGCCATCAGGTGACACAGCTCAGGGAGCTCCTGTTGTCACTGGGTGTGTGACAGCCCTGGGTGGGGCTCTGCTGTCACCAAAGTCCACCTGTCAGCGGGTGTGACACCGTGGGTGGCACCTTTCTGTCCCTGCCTGACCGGCCCAGAGAGCTCCTGCTGTCCCAGCCCTGCCAGGGGACCCTCCTGTCCCCTCCTGAGTCCCCCCAAGCCCACCCAGAGCCTCCCCCTCCCTCCGTGCTCCTTCCCCCCCTGCTCCTGGCTCTTTTCCACCCTGAGCCAGGATGAAAAGCTCTTTTTCTCCAGATCCCAGGATCAAACCCCACGCCCTGGAGCCTCCATTCCACCTGCAGGACGTGTCCCCAGCTCTGAGGGGCAGCAGCTCCGTGCCCACCCGTGCCCAGGTGCCAGGGAGGAGCCAGGCCTTGGTGGCAGCACATCTGTCACCCTGTTCCTGCTCGGGAGCGCTCCCGTCTGCCCGACGCCAGCGCCCGACCTTTGGCTGCTGCTGGGGCTGGGTCTGATTCCCGGGATGGGTCTGTGATTCCCGGGCTGGGTCTGTGATTCCAGGGATGGTTTGTGATTCCCAGGCTGGGTCTGTGATTCCTGGGGCTGGTTTGTGATTCCCAGGCTGGGTTTGTGATTCCCAGCCTGGTTTGTGATTGCCAGGCGGGGTTTGTGATTCCCAGGCTGGGTTTGTGATTCCCAGCCTGGTTTGTGATTGCCAGGCGGGGTTTGTGATTCCCAGGCTGGGTTTGTGATTCCCAGCCTGGGTTTGTGATTCCCAGGGATGGTTTGTGATTCCCGGGCTGGTTTGTGATTCCCGGGCTGGGTTTGTGATTCCAGGGATGGGTTTGTGATTCCCAGGTTGGGTTTGTGATTCCTGGGGCTGGGTTTGTGATTCCTGGGATGGGTTTGTGATTCCCAGGCTGGGTTTGTGATTCCCAGGCTGGGTTTGTGATTCCCAGGGATGGTTTGTGATTCCCAGGGATTGGTATGTGATTCCCAGGGATGGTTTGTGATTCCCAGGGATTGGTATGTGATTCCCAGGGATGGTTTGTGATTCCCAGGGATTGGTATGTGATTCCCAGGGATGGTTTGTGATTCCCAGGGATTGGTATGTGATTCCCAGGGATGGTTTGTGATTCCCAGGGATTGGTATGTGATTCCCAGGGATGGTTTGTGATTCCCAGGGATTGGTATGTGATTCCCAGGGATGGTTTGTGATTCCCAGGGATTGGTATGTGATTCCCAGGGATGGTTTGTGATTCCCAGGCCGGGTTTGTGATTCCCAGGGCCGGGGCTGCTCCCACCGGGTTCTCTCAGGGTCAGGAGCCCCTCGGGGGGCAGAATCACCCGGGCTCCAGCGGTTTGTCCTGCCCGGACACACTTTTCTATGAGTGTTTCGTTTGCTTCAGGGCAATCTTTTGGGGTTTTCAGGAGTAAAAAAGCAGATTCCGAAGGGAGAGCTGCTGGTCAGCTGAGGTTCAGGGTGCTGGGGATCCAGATCAGAGGCTCTGTGGGCATGGAGGGATGTGGGAGCCACAGATGTGGGAGCTCCACCTGCCCCCCGTGGGGGAAAGCTGCCATCCCCTCTGTCCCTGTTTGTTTTATCCAAAATTCAAATCCAGTTTTTTCCCCTCGAAATGTTGGTGGTGGTGAAGTGCAGAAGAGGAAACAGCCATTCCAGGAAGGATCCAGGCAGAAAAGAGGATGGATTTGTAATTAAGGGGTTGTGGAGGTGATGGGAGCTTCACCCGTGTCTGTACCAGTGCTCAGGAAGTGTTTGGATAATTTAGAATTAAGGAGAAAAGTCACAAAGCTGCAGCCCCTGGGTAAAGGGCTGGGTGTGAAACGTGCAGTGGGACATTTCTGGTGACCTGGGAGATGTGGCCCAAAAGCCACTGGAGCAGGGTGATCCATCAGGAAGGGCTGGAAAGGGAAGGAGACCTTGGAGAGCATCTGCCACTGCTGTGCTGGTGACATCCCAGCCCTTCCCTTTGGTGACATCCCACCCCTTCCCTTTGGTGACATCCCTGGATTTCCCTTCAGTGACATCCCAGCTTTTCCCTTTGGTGACATCCCTTGTTTTTCCAGCACTCCCAGGTCCTGTGGGGCCATCCCAGCAGACATCCTCACCCAAGCAGCCTTGGGTTATTCCCAGTTTATGTTTTCATTTTTATGGGTTTTTTTTTTCATTTCCCAGCTCTGGGTTATTCCCAGTTGATATTTCCATTTTCCCCCAAACTGAGGGAGCTTCTCGAGGCCTCTGGAGGTGCTGGGAAGGCAGGGGGCAGGGAAGCAGCTCATTCCTGGGATTGTGGCCTCCCGTGGCTTCCTCCTGGATTTCAGTGGAGGGAAAGCCAGCCCCAGCTTGTGTTTTCCACCTTTTCCCAGCTCTGTGGGAGTTGGGAGCTTCAGGGGGGTTTCTTGTGGGTTTGATGTGTTTGGGGTCTGCTCCAGAGCTGCTCTGTGCTGTTGGACACAGGGAAGGCTTTTTCCAATTTATGTTCCTGGCTTGAGGGACAGGGATCCTGTTGATCCCATCCCCAGCTCCAAAACTCGGGTTTAAATCCCATTTTGTGGTTTTCCTGACCCTTTTATTGCCGCTCACCATCTCCAGCTCCAAAACTCGGGTTTAAATCCCCTTTCATGGTTTTCCTGACCCTTTTATTGCCTCAGTCACCATCCCTGGGTGGGGGCCAAAACTTGGGTTTAAATCGCATTTTGTGGTTTTCCTGACCCTTTTATTGCCTCACTCACCATCCCTGGGTGGGGAGCTCTGGAAGCCCCCCGGGCCTGCAGCTTTTCCAGGGAGCTTTTGCTAATTCCCACGTGTTAATCCCAACTGCTGATCCCATACCAGCCAGAGGAATTAATAACTCCTTCCTTCTTTTCCAGGTCGACACACAATGAGATGGAAAAGAACAGGTGAGTGCCAGGGGGTGTCAGGAGCTGGGCTGGGGGGAATTATTGCTTTTCCAGGGGTGTTCCACCATCCTGAGGTGGCTTGGGAGGGAAGGAAGGAGATGAAGGACACCAGGGATTAAAGCATTCCCTGTCCTTGGTGGTTGGGAATGGCATCCACCTCCACAGCCCTGCTTATTCAGAATTACCTTTCACAGGAGTCTCATCTTTGAGTAATTTACCCTGAGTAAATCCCACTTTTTTGGCTGTGGTGTCATCCCGAGGCCCTTTGGGTGAGGAAATCCCTGTTCCCTCCCAGCATATCCCAAACAAGACCAGCAGGTCGTTGCAAAATCCCTTGGGATCAGGTGGCTCAGGGGTGGCTGTCACAACCCCTTCCCAAGGACCTGATTATTAATTCCTACATGTCGGGCTTGGGAATGGACACAGGGAAACTGGGATGTGCTGGGAGCACATTTGGAAATGTGCTCAAATTTCCCTTTTGGAAAAGGGATTTCCTTGAGGAGCTGGAGTTCCCCTCCTGCATTAACCTGTTAAAGCAGGGAAAACCCAGATGTTACAGGAAGAGGGAGGATTCCTGGAGAACAGCCAGTGCTCCTGCAGGGATCTGGGGGGGTTTGTGTCCAAAACCACCCTGTTCCTACTAAAAATAAGGAAAGGAAGCACTCCCAAGGGATTTGCAGCTGGGCAGCTTCAGCTGTGAGCAGGAACCACACAGCCCTCCTGAGATGGAAGAGAATGACCAAAAGTGGATATTCTCACCCAGAATCACGAGGTTATTGGCATTTTGTTGACTGGGCTTCCCCCAGCAGCCCGGGCTGCCAGCAGGGTTCACCCAGCAGGTTCTCCCAAGGCATCCTCTGGCCTGCCTGCAGTTCCCTCCCAGTTTCTGGAAGCCCCTGGAGGCTGGGGAGGCTCCTGGTGGGGTTTAGCTCCCCTTTCCCCCAGAACGGCCCTGGGGGAGCTGTCCCAGCCGGGTGCTCCCGTTGCAGGCGTGCCCAGCTGCGGCTGTGCCTGGAGAGGCTGAAGGGGCTGGTGCCGCTGGGGGCGGCGGCCGGGCGGCACACCACGCTCAGCCTGCTCACCAGGGCCCGCCTCCACATCCAGGTGAGGCCACCCTGGGGGCTGCCCTGGGGGCTGCCAGGGCTGGCAGGGCTGGGACAGCGCTGGGAGGGGGCTGGGGTAACTGGGAGAGCACTGGGATGGGGCTGGAGTGACTGGGAGAGCACTGGGATGGGGTTGGGGAGAGCACTGGAATCGTGATGGGGAGAGCACTGGGATGGAGCTGGGGTGACTGGGACAGCACTGGGATGGGGTTGGGGTAACTGGGAGAGCACTGGGATTGTGATGGGATGATGGGGAGAGCTCTGGGATGGGGCTGGGGTAACTGGGACAGTGCTGGGATGGGGCTGGGGACAGCACTGGGATGGGGCTGGGGTGACTGGGAGAGCACTGGGATGGGGCTGGGGTGACTGGGGGAGTTCTGAATTGGGCTGGGGTAACTGGGAGAGCACTGGGATCATAATTGGGGGAGCGCTGGGTGGGTCTGGGGTAACTGGGAGGGCACTGGGATGGGGCTGGGGTAACTGGGACAGCACTGGGATGGGGCTGGGGGAGCGCTGGGATCATGGTGGGATGATGGGGAGAGCACTGGGATGGGGCTGGGGTAACTGGGAGGGCACTGGGATCGTGATGGGGGGAGTGCTGGGATGGGGCTGGGGTAACTGGGAGAGCACTGGGATCATAATTGAGTGAGCGCTGGGTGGGTCTGGGATGATGGGGAAAGTGCTGGGATGGGGCTGGGGTAACTGGGAGAGAGCCAGCATTGCGCTGGGATGATTGGGAGGGTTGGAATCCCCACAGCTCCACATCCCAAGCGGGCTGAAGGTGGGAGCCCCTTGGGAGCCAGGGTGGATTGGGCAGGGAATGCCAGGGGGGGATCCTGAGTGGTTCCAAGTGAATCCCAGGCTCAGGGTGCCATGTCCTGGGTGGTTCCAAGGGAATCCTGGGTGGTTCCAAGGGAGCCCCGGGTGGTTCTGAGGGAGCCCCGGGCTCAGGGCTCCCTGTCCTGGGTGGCCCTAAGGGAATCCTGGGCTCAGGGTGCCGTGTCCCAGGTGGTTCTGAGGGAATCCCGGGTGGCTCCAAGGGAACTCCAGGCTCAGGGCGCCATGTCCTGGGTGGTTCTGAGGGAACCCCGGGTGGTTCTGAGGGAGCCCCGGGTGGTTCTGAGGGAGCCCCGGGCTCAGGGCTCCCTGTCCCCCGCAGAAGCTGGAGGACCAGGAGCGCCGGGCCCTGCACCAGATCGAGCAGCTGCAGCGGGAGCAGCGGCACCTGCAGCGGCAGCTGGAGAAGCTGGGCGTGGAGCGGCTCAGGATGGACAGCATCGGCTCCAGCCTCTCCTCGGAGCGCTCCGACTCGGAGCAAGGTGAGAAACCCCCCCGGGGCACGGCCACAGGGAGGCCTGGCCCCGCCACGGCCCCAACCCTGCCCGTTGCCCCGGCAGAAGAGATGGACGTGGACGTGGAGAGCACGGACGACCTGCCGGCCGAGCTGGACTGGAGCAGCAGCAGCCCCAGCGACTCGGACGAGCGCGGCAGCCTGCAGAGCCTGGCCAGCGACGAGGGCTACTCCAGCTCCGGCGGCGCCCGGGCCAGGCTGCCCGGCGGCCACAAGCTTCCCGTTGGCATTTAGGGAGCTCTCCCCGGCTCCGTGCCCTCGGGAACCCCGTCAGCCAGCACAGCGACCCCGCCAGCGTTCCCTGCACGGAACCCTCCCAAAGCCCGGCTGCTCCCGGGGCTCCGGCCTCTCTGCTCTGCTCTGGAATGTTCTGGCAACAGCAGCGACCTCAGGAGCTGGCACTGCCCGGTGTTGCCCGTCTCTGGCGTGCTCCTGGCTCTCAGGACCTTTTCAGGTGTTTTTTTGGGAGCAGACCCCACGAGGAGCCGGAGTTTGTGGATTTCCATCCTTCCAGCCTCAGTCGGGGCTCCTTGCCCCGACTCTAAATCTTCAGGGAGCCCGTGCCAGCCCCGCCGTGCTCCCGGAGCATTCCCGGCCGGGCTCGGGGCCGTGCCCACCCCCGGGGTCCAGGTGCCCCTCCTGGAACGTGGCACGGCCCTCCAGACTCCTGCAATTCCCTTCCCGCACCCTCGGGGACCTTTTCTTCTACCTCGGAGGGAGCCCAGGGCCTCTCTCCACCCCTTCAGCACAAAGGTGAAGCCTCTGCTCAGCAATAACCCTGCGGGATTTCCCGGCTCCGTCCTCCCAGGATTGCTCCAGGCTCGTGGAAGGTTCCAGAAGCCCCCACAGGGAGTGCAGGGGGTTCCCAGCCGTGGTGTGGATTCGTTTCCCAGTGCCCTGGAGGGAGCATTCCCACCCCTCCCTGCTCCGGAGGTGCTCTGGGGATGTTGGCGTGTAGAGAGCTCTGCTTCCAGCACCTTCCTTTTCCCCTGGGGCTGCTCCAGGGCTTTTCCAGGCCCTGCCGGGGAGCCCTCCCGGGGCTGGGATGGAGCCCCGACCCTCTGCCGGTGCCTCTCAGGAAATGCAGGTGCTGGAAGGCTTCAGATGCTCCGTGGAGTGCAAGGGGATGGACGAGCAGCAGGAGACTCCAGTGCTTTTTCCTCTCCTTTGTCCTTTCCCTTCCTTTTTCTTCCCCCACCCCTTTTTTCCCTTTTCTTTTTCCTTTCCTCCCCTTTTTTTTCCTTTTCTTTTTCCTTTCCCCCCTTTTTTTTCCCTTTTCTTTTTCCTTTCTTTTGTCCTTTCCTCCCCCCCTTTCTCATTTTCCCCCTTCCCTTCTTGCCACCCCAATCCCATTCCTGGCTCACATGGGGACGTGGGAAGCCACCCACAAGCCCCACAAATTGCCCAAATTCCCCCAGGTTTTGGCTCTTTTTTTTTTCCATGTGCTGGCTCATAAGAGGAAAAAAAAAAAAAAAAACCCCAAACCACAAGGAATTTTCCTTTAAAGCTGCTGGAATTTTCCACCCTCTGGCATTGTCACAGACCCTGGGCACCTGAGCTCAACCCCCTGCACTGCCAAAAAGAGGGAAAAAAAGGCAAAAAGATGGAAAACACAGAGAAAAAGAGGAATAGCAGCCCCTGGGGGCCTTTTGCCTTCACCTGGGGAATCCCAGCCCTGGGCAGGCCCTTCCAGAGGCACAAAACGTTGATTTTTGGTTCCTTTTGGACATTCTGAAGGTTTGGCCTCAGCACAAACGAGGGGTTTGGGCGGGTTTGTGCCTTTCTGAGTTGCCAATGCCTTTTTTTCCCCCTTTTTTCCCTTTTTTTCCCCCTCCTAGCCCAGCCTGCCCCTTCCCAGCCCTTTGCACTGTGGGGCCGTGCTCCGGGACCCCCAAAATTCTGCACTAAAACCCAGATCCCCCCGGGTGCCCCGAGGTGGTGCCAGCCTTTTCCTGGAATTCACTGATCCACCAGCATTCCTATCAAATAAGCTGCAGGAAGGACTTTTTTATTAAAAAAAAAACCAAACCCAGGGAGTGGGGGGAGTGGGATGGGGGCACGGACGGGTGGGAACCAAACCCACCCAATTTTGGGGCTGGTTTTCCTTTCTTTTTTCCTTTTGGAAGGCAGATCCCCAAGCACCAGCTCCCGGGAAGCACCAAAATGTTCTTTTCATCCTTCATTTTTCCAGCTCCACTCAAGCTTTCCTTTGTTGTTCTTGGGGACACCTCTTCTTTGTGCTTTTCCCATCCTTTTTTTTTGTTGTTTTTTGCTTCCCCAGCAGTGGCTCCAGCCCAGCCTGGCTCCCCTGGGCAGCTGGGAGTGGGCACAGCTCCATTTCCAGCCGTTCCTGCTGTAAATATCCAAATTTCCCACTGCAGGGCTGAACCCCGTGTCAAGCCAATAGAATGGTGCTTTTTTTTTTTGTTTTTCTGCTTTTTTTTTTCTTCTTTTTTTCCTTTTTTTTTTTCTTTTTTTCTTTTTTTTTTTTTTTTTGTTTTTCTGCTTCTTTTTTTTCTTCTTTTTTTTTTTTTTTTTGTTTTTCTGCTTCTTTTTTTTCTTCTTTTTTTTTTTTTTTTTGTTTTTCTGCTTCTTTTTTTTCTTCTTTTTTTCCTTTTTTTTTTTCTTATTTTTTGGTTTGTTTTGTTGTTTTTTTTTTTAATTCCGTGTTTTAGGAGATCTTTGCTGTGTCCATGGATATTTCTGTTCTTGTTTGATTGTTAGGAAATAAATTATTTCGTTACGAAAGAGCCGGGGCTGCTGCGGGAGGGGAGGGGACCCCGAGGGTGGCACAAGGACGGGGGTGGCACCGCGGGGACAAGGACAGGGTGGCACACAGGGGGACAGAGGGACACGGGGCCACCTGGGAGCCATCCCAGCGCCCCACCTGGGGCAGGTGCCCCACCCCAGGGGCCACACCTGCCCTGAGGGCCCTCGAGTGACAAGTGGGGTCACGGTGGTGGCCGGGGAGGGACCTGCCGGGAAGGGAGAGGGGGAGGGGACGGACAAGGAGGACATCAGGGGGACATGGGGGACAGGGAGGACATGAGGGACACGGGGACAGAAGGGACATGACAGACATGGGGGACACAGGGGACAGGGGGACACAGGGGACAGAAGGGACATGACAAACATGGGGGACACAGGGGACATGGTGGGCCTGAGGGATATGGGGGACTCAGGGGGCACAGGGGACATGAAGGACAGGGGGACAAGGGAGGACGTGAGGGTTTGGAGCCATGTGGACATTGAGGATTTTGGGGGGGGACATGAAGGGGAGCAGAGGGGGCTGGGGACGTTGGAGGGTGACAGGGGGGACATGGGGGGATATGGGGGTGTGGGACTGTGGTGGCACAAAGGGGACACGGGAACGTGGGGACACAGCAGAGGGGAGAGGGTGGTGACATGGTGGGGGGACCTGAGGGGATGTGGGGACATGGGGACCCCAACAGGGACCTCAGGGACAGCAAGGGGGACATGGGGACATTGCCAGGGGTCCCTGCTGGGGACATGGGGCCTTGGGTGGGGACACGGGCGTGGGGCCAGCAGCAGAGTGGCAGGGCGGGGGGGGCAGGCCCGCAGTGTCCCCACGGGTGTGGCACACCTGTCCCCGTGAGCTGGCGCGGTGCCACCTCCCGCCTGCCCTGCGGGGCTTTAAGAGGCCGCGGGCCCGGCCGTGCCAGCGCTGTCCCCTCCTGTCCCCGCCATGGCCCTGGCACTGCCGCTGCTCCTCGCCCTGCTCGGGACCACCCCAGGTAGGACCGTGCCCCCGCACCTGGGGCAGCTCGGAGCACCCCCGGAGCTGGGCACCCCCAAAGCCTGGTGTCCCCAAACCTGGGTGTCCTCAGAGCTGGGTGTCCCCAAAGCCAGGTGTCCCCAAATCTGGGTGTCCCCAAATCTGGGTGTCCCCCTCAAGGACCCCGTGCACAGACTCCTGACAAGGGGGCCTTTGGGGGGGGGGGGGGTCGGGGACCCCTCCCAGCGCTGTCCCCTCCTGTCCCCGCCATGGCCCTGGCACTGCCGCTGCTCCTCGCCCTGCTCGGGACCACCCCAGGTAGGACCGTGCCCCCGCACCTGGGGCAGCTCGGAGCACCCCCGGAGCTGGGCACCCCCAAAGCCGGATGTCCCCAAATCTGGGTGTCCCCAAAGCTGGGTGTCCCCAAACCTGGGTGCCCCCAGACCTGGGTGTCCCCAAAGCCAGGTGCCCCCAAATCTGGGTGTCCCCCTCAAGGACCCTGTGCACAGACTCCTGACAAGGGGGGAAGGGGGCTCTTGGGGGGGGGTCTGGGACCCCTCTTGGGGTATGGGGGTGTCCATGGGGGGTCCCTTCCAGCCGGGTCCCCCCCTGAGGGCAGGAGTGGGGTTTGGGGGTGCTGTGTGGTATGGGGGGGTCTCGGTGCCAGGGCCCCCCGGGATGGGGTGTTGGAGGGGGGGGTGCATTGAGGGGTCCCCCAATCGCGGTGTCCCCAAGAGGGCTGGTGTTGGGGTGGGGTGACGCCAGGGGGTGTCCTGGGGGGGTCCCGGCTCGCCAGGTGCCCCTGGCCGGGTGCTGACAGTGTTCACAGGTCTGGGGGCGCCGGGGGGGGGCTGTGGGGTGCCCCCCTCTGCCTGGTGCCAGGACTGGGTGACGGCGCTGCGCTGCGGGGCCCTGGGGCGCTGCCCCCGCCTCAGCCAGGGACCCCCCGAAATGGTGAGAGACCCCCCCCGTGTCCCCAGCACCCCTCTAATGTCCCCCCACCCTTCCCTCTGTCCCTGTGCCCCCTGTGTGCCCCCAGAACCCCACAGGGGTCCCAGCACTCCCACCGTGGTGCCACGCCAACGAGTCCACTGGCATCCCCCTTGGTCCCCGTGTCCCCAATCCCCCATGTCCCCATGTCCTCATGTCCCCATGTCCCCATTCCCTCATGCCCCCTCGGTTCCCATGTCCCCATACCCCCCACGTCCCCATATCCCCCTTCCTCCATGTCCCCATTCCCCACATCCTCATTCCCCCACGTCCCCATATCCCCCTTCCTCCATGTTCCCATTCCCCACATCCTCATTCCCCCATGTCCTCGTGTCTCCATGTCCCCATTCCCCCACGTCCCCATGTCCCCATGTCCTCACTTCCCCATTCCCCCTTGTCCCCATGTCCCACCTCCCAGCACCCCTGTGCCACAACATGCCCGTGTCCTCATGCTCCCCATGTCCCTGTCCTCCTCTGTGGCCATTCCCCAGTGTCCCAGACCCCCGTGTCCCCATGTCCCCGTATCCCTGTATCACTGTGTCCCCATGTCCCAGTGTCCCCGTGTCCCCATGTCCCAGTGTCCCCATGTCCCCACGTCCCCTGTCCTCTCCTGCAGGACGCCTGTGCCGTGTGCCAGTACTTCGTGGACTGCCTAGGCAAAATCTCAAACAAAACGGCCTTGGAGGTACTGAGGGTGAGGGACAGGTGCCACTGGGGGTGAGGGACAGGTGCCACTGGGGGTGAGGGACAGGTGCCACTGGGGGTGGGACACGGGTGCCACTGGGGGTGCCACGGTGGGTGCCAGCAAGTGCCACTGGGCACAGGGAGGTGCCCCTGGGAGTGCCACTGCCGCTGATGAGGTGGTGGCTGCCACTGAGGGTGCCAGGTCACAGATGCCACCGTGGTGCTGTGTGTCACTGCGGGTGAGGTGGTGGCAGGTGCCAGCGGGTGCCACGGTGCTGAGGGGACAGGGTGGATGCCATCGTGTGTGCCATGGCCACAGGTGCCATGCCACAGGCACCACCCATGGGCACCAGTGGTGACAGGTGTGGCTGGGGTGTGGTGGTGGTGGTGAGGATGGCAGTGGTGGCTGTCACTGTGGGTGTCATGGTGGGTGTCACTGTCACTGTGGGTATCATGGTGGGTGTCACTGTGGGTGTCACTATTGGTGTCATTGTAGGGTGTCACTGTCACTGTCACTGTGGGTGTCACTGTGGGTGTCACTGTGGGGTATCATGGTGGGTGTCACTGTCACTGTGGGTGTCACTGTCACTGTCACTGTTGGTGCCCGGTGCAGGAGGTGCTGGAGCACGTGGTGGGGTTGGTGTGCCCACACCTCCATTTGAACACCTCGTGCTACGACCTGGCTAAACTGATGGTCAGTTTGCTCCTCTGGGACATCCAGAACCTTGTGAGTGGCAGCGGGGCACACGGGAGGGGCTTTGGGGACACTGTGGCCCCCAGGGACATGGGGGCATCCAGGGCCACCCCGGGGGCTTGGGGACAGCTGTGTCACACCGTGCTGCCCCGCAGGAGCCCCGCGAGGTCTGTGTCAACCTGCAGCTGTGTCCTCCAGAGCCCGGCGCCGCGCTGGCCCTGCCCGTCCTGGAGCTGCCCGGCGGCCACCGGCAGGTACGGGGACACGGGGACAGCAGGGCTGGGTGGGGGGGACACAGCCACGCAGTGTCCCCAGCACGGCTGCAGTGTCCCTGCACTGGCAGCAGTGTCCCCAGTACCACGTGCAGTGTCCCCTGTAGTGTCCCCTCTCCCTCTGCAATGTCCCCAGCACTGGTTGCAGTGTGCCAGCAGCGGGTGCAGTGTCTCCTGTCCCCTGCAGTGTCCCCTCTCTGCTGCAGTGTCTCCTGTCCCCTGCAGTGCCCCCTCTGCCCTGCAGAGTCCCCAGCACTGGCAGCAATGTCCCCTCTCCTCTGCAGTGTCCCCAGTACCAGGTGCAGTGTCCCTTCTGGCTACAGTGTCCCTGCACTGGCAGCAGTGTCCCCTGTCCCCGGCAGTGTCCCCCCTGCCCTGCAGCGTCCCCTGTCCCCTGCAGTGTCCCCCGTCCCCAGCAGTGTCCCCTGTCCCGCAGGGCCCGGGGCTGTCCCCGCAGGCGCTGCCGCTGCCGCTGCCGCTGTGCTGGCTGTGCCGCTCGCTGGTGGCGCGGGCCGAGGCCGCGGTGCCGGTGGGCTCGGTCCTGCTCTGCCGCCTCTTCCTGGCCTGCCGCAGCGGCGACAGCGGCGACAGCGGCGACAGCCAGCTCGCGGGGACGCTGCCACCGCCCCGGCTGCTGGAGACCATCGTGGTGCGCCTGGCCGACTGTGTCAGGGAGGAGGTGAGGGGGACACGGAGAGGATGGCCCCGGGGGGGACAGGGCACGCCAGGGTCACACGACACTGAGGGGACACGTCCAGGAGTGTCACAGCACCGAGGACACACCACTGAGTGTCCAGGTCCCCGGGAGCCATGCCAGGGACACAAATGTTGGTGCAGCCCCAAAGGGACACATCCGGGGTGTCAAACTCCTTGGGGACCCATCCTGGGTGTCACAGTCCTTGGGGACACATCTGGGGTGTCACACTCCTTGGGGACCCATCCTGAGCTGTCACACTCCTTGGGGACACATCCTGAGCTGTCACAGTCCTTGGGGACACATCTGGGGTGTCACACTCCTTGGGGACCCATCCTGGGTGTCACAGTCCTTGGGGACACATTGTGGGCTGTCACACTTCTGTCAGTGAGATCCCCAGTCAGTGCCACCCTCTCTAGACACATCCTGAGCTGTCACAGTCCTTGGGGACACATCCAGGGTGTCACACTCCTTGGGGAGCCATCCTGGGTGTCACAGTCCTTGGGGACACATCGTGGGCTGTCACAGTCCTGTCAGTGAGACCCCCAGTCAGTGCCACCCTCTCTCAGGGGAGCCCCTCATGCCTGTGTCCCCCCCCAGGACCCCAAAGGTGCCACTGTCCCTGCGCTGTCCCTGTCCCTGGGCCCCTGTGCCCTGGGCCCCATCTTCTGGTGCTCGGGCCCGGAGGCGGCGCGGCGCTGCCAGGTGAGTGGGGACACAGGGGACACGGGGGACACGGGGGGCTGGCACCCCCTGCGCCCCCCGCTGACCCCTGGGCCCCCTGCAGGCCCTGCAGCACTGCCGGGAGCACGTCTGGCTGTAGGGGGGCACCAGGACCCCCCAGCTTTCCCCAATAAAGCTTGGATGCAGCTCTGCCTCAGCCTTTGGGGGTGTCGGGGCTCACGGGGGGCTGGGAGGGAAGCAGCAGAAACCACAAACCCCCAGAACCCACAGAAGAGAAGAGGTGAAAATGAGTTACAAAAATAGTGGGTGCCATTTACTGGGACACAGGGGGACTGGGGGTGTCCCCAGGTGGGCATCGGGTGTCCCTGCGAGTCTCTGGGTGTCCAGGGGGAGCTTGGGCTGCTCCTAAAGGGGGCTCAGGGCACCCCTAGGGGGGTGGGGATACCCCCGAGGGGGAGCTGGGGGTGTCCCCAAGGGGGTTTCTGGGTGTCCCCAAGGCTCTCAGGCGCCTTGTTGGTTCGTCTCATCCTCCTCGCGTCGCTTCCAGATCTGCAGGAGAGCAGGAGGGGTTTGTGGGGGCACAGGAGACGTTTGGGGGTGTCAGGGGACATTCAGGGGGTGTCACAGGACATTCGGGGGGGTCACAGGACATTCTGGGGGTACCCCCTGTGCCCCCTCACCTGGATGTAGGCCTCGGACAGGGTGATCATCTGGGGCAGGATGTCGGTCACCTGCAGGTCCTGCAGCTCGTACCACTTCCCTGTGCCCTGCCAGGACCCAGGAGGGGACAGGGTGACTCGGGGGGGTCCCTGTGGTCCCCCCAAGCCCCCCGGGGAGGGGACACTCACGTGGTGCAGGACGTGGATGCGGTAGGAGCCCTCTGAGGGCTTGCCATCGTGCACGATGTTGGCGATGAGGTCGTAGGTGGTGTGGGAGTGTGCAGCCTGCACCTCCTCCGACAGGTACTCCCGCAGGTCCACGTTCCTGGGAGCCCACAGCACCCTCAGACAGCCCCACGGGGCTCCTGTCCCTGCTGGATGCTGCAATCCCCCCAAAATGCCCACCCACAGCACCCCCACATATCTACATCCCCATCCCAGGTGTCATGAACTCCCTGACACCCCCAGGTGCCTTCAAATCCCTTTTTTATGCCTAAAAACCACTCAAAACCCACCCTGGATGCCCACATACCACCCTAGACACCTTCAAATCCCTGGACACTTCTACTCCCCTGGCTCAGCTGCTTCCAAAGCCCCTCTAGATGTTTCCATCACTTCACAGACATTTACAACTCTCTCCAGATGCCTTCAACCATCCCCAGATACCCCCAATCTCCTTTTAGATGCTTTTAACCCTCTCCACAACTCCCAGCCCCACAAAGCAGGGGGCACAGAAAGGATCCCCGGGCACATACAGGGGGGCTGTGCCCGTTTGAGCTGCCCCAGCAGCCACCCTGTCCCTGGTGTCCCCATGGTGTCCCTTCCCATGCATCCTCTTTGCACCCCTTGGCAGCAGCCTGTCCCTGGGTGTCCCCACAGCCCTGGGTGTCCCCACAGCTCACGTGATGGGGAAGTTGACAATGGTGGGGTTCTTCTCCACGAAGAAGTTGTTCTTGGTGAAGCGCTTGATGCAGAAGATGAGGTAGGGGGGCAGGCGCGTCAGCTGGAAGCGCTTCAGGAAGTTCTCCTTGTAGGTCTTGTACTCCTTCTCGGTGCTGCCGTTGAACTTGGCCAGGATGCTGAACAGGGGCACCTGGGGGATGATGAGCTGCTCCTTCTCGTCCTTGTAGAGCGGCGCCGTGGGCAGGTCCAGGGTCAGGTACAGGAAGGTGGACTCCACCATGCGCTCCTGGTACTCGCTGTTCTGCAGCAGCTGCGCCTTCTCCTCCGCGGGCTGGGGGCACCCGTGGGGGCACGTCAGCCCCGTGGGGGGCACAGCAGCCCCGGGGGGCACAGCAGCCTGCTGGACCCCACATTCCCACTGGACACAGCAGCCCTGCTGGATCCATCACCCCCATTGAACCCAACACCTCCCACTGGATCAATCTCCCCACTGGATCCATCACCCCACTGACCCTAACACCACCCCATACGACCCTGCCACCCCCACTGGACCCTAACATCCCTTTGTTGTACCCAAAGGCCCCCCACCATACCCCAACACCCCCTCCATCCATCATTTAACCCCCTCACAACACTCCTCATTTGACCCAATCCTCTGTCAAAACCCCATCACTCCCAAACCACCCCCCACCAGACCCCATCACCCCCATCTGACCCCAACACCCCTTTTTCTGACCCTGCCATTCCCATTGCACCCCAACTCCCCCCGCCAAAATCCCGTTGGACACTGGCAGCTCACACTGCACCCCAAAACCCATCAGTGCCCACCACATCCACACTGCACCCCAACACCCAGCACTGCCCCCATACCCTGACACCCTCCACTGCACCCCAACACGCCCCATTCCCCCCCAGTCCCACCAGGTCAGGGTGTGGCAGCTTCTTGGTGAAGATGCGCATGGAGCCCTGGAACACGTCGGTGACAATGGCTGGGGGGACAAAGGGGGATCAGTGGGGGGACAGCAGCCCCCAAAGGCCCCCCCAGAACCTCTCCTCACTCACTCTTCTTCTTCCTCTTGGTGCCGCCCAGCGCGGCGTGCAGCGCGTTCAGGAACCAGGACAGGAACTCCACCCCATCCCCTGCAAGAGCAGAGCTGGAGCTGAGCCTGCATCCTGCTGTGCCCCTGCATGCAGAGACCCCAGACCCTGCACGCCCACACCCTGCACCCTGAATCCAGAGACCCCAGACCCTGCACCCCCAGACCCAGCCCTGCACCTCCAACCCAGCCCTGCAACCCAAATCCAGAGACCCCAGACCCTGCACGCCCAGACCCTGCACCCCTGAATCCACAGCCCCCAGACCCAGAGCTGCCTCCCCAACCCAGCCCGGCACCCCCAAATCCAAAGGCCCCAAGATCCAGCTTTTCCCCTCAAACCCAGCTCTGTACCCCCAAACCCAGAGCCTCCCAGGCCCAGCTCTTCCCCTCAGACCCAGCTTTGCCCCCCAAACCCAGCCCTGCACCCCCAAACCCAGAACCTCCCAGGCCCAGCTCTTCCCCTCAAACCCAGCACTGTCCCCCAGCCCCGCACCCCCAAACCCCACCCTGCTTGGTGATCTGGAAGTTCTTCTTGCTGCACAGCACCACGGCCTGCAGCATCTCGTGGGGGGACACGTGTGCCTTGAAGTTCCTGGGGTTCCAGAGCTTCCTCATGAGCTCCCCGAAGCGCTGCACCAGCAGGAACATGATGTCCCCGGGCGGGCGCTGGATGCGCCGGTAGTTCTCCTCCTCCAGGAAGTAATTCCTCAGGGGAGGCACGTTGGACAGGGCCTGGGGACACAGCAGGGGGGATTCAGCCCTGGGACCCCCATGGTGGGGGATCTGGGGGGTGTGGGGCAGACCCTGCACTGCCAGGGGTCAGGAATCCCAGAACAACCTGAGCTGGAAAGGATCCAGAGGTGGGGATGACCCCTGCTGGCCCCACAGAAGAGTTTGGGGAGGGTTATGGGGGGCTTTCACCTGCACGCCCAGACCCTGCACCCCTGAATCCACAGCCCCCAGACCCAGAGCTGCCTCCCCAACCCAGCCCGGCACCCCCAAATCCAAAGGCCCCAAGATCCAGCTTTTCCCCTCAAACCCAGCTCTGTACCCCCAAACCCAGAGCCTCCCAGGCCCAGCTCTTCCCCTCAGACCCAGCTTATGGAATGGAAAGGATCCAGAGGTGGGGACGATCCCTGCAAGCCCCACAGAGAGGTTTGGGGCAGACCCTGCACTGCCAGGGGTCAGGAATCCCAGAACAACCTGAGCTGGAAAGGATCCAGAGGTGGGGATGATCCCTGCCAACCCCACAGAAGAGTTTGGGGAGGGTTATGGGGGGCTTTCACCCTAAAAAGCCAGCTGCACCCCACAGTTGTAATGCCTCCAGAATGGAAGGTGGGATCCACCCTCAGGAGTGGGATTTTAGGAGGACTTCAGAAGGAATTCAGCCCAAAATGAAGGCAGCATCCCCCACATGCATATGCTGTGGGAAAAGAGATGGGACTCATCCCCGAGACCCCCAGAGCAGGATTTTGGGAGGGTCTGAGCCCAGAATGAAGCCTGAACCCCCCCACTATGAGAGGAAAGGTGTGATTCCTCCCTGTCAGACCCACAGTGATGTTCTGGGGGGTTTCACCCCAGAAGAACCCCAACCCTGGTGTCACCTGCAGCACGGCGTTGGCGTAGTCGTTGGCCTTGATGTTGTTGAGCCCCACGATGCCAGGCAGGTACGTGGTGCCATCGTAGGCCCGCGACAGCTTGGCCTGCTTGTCCAGGTGGGCGATGTGCTGGGCTGTGAACGTGGGCTTCAGCACGTACTGTGGGGGCAGAGAACCCCCATGGTGGGGGATCTGGGGGGTGTGGGGCAGACCCTGCACTGCCAGGGGTGGGGAATCCCAAACAGTATGGAATGGAAAGGATCCAGAGGTGGGGACGATCCCTGCAAGCCCCACAGAGAGGTTTGGGGCAGACCCTGCACTGCCAGGGGTCAGGAATCCCAGAACAACCTGAGCTGGAAAGGATCCAGAGGTGGGGATGATCCCTGCCAACCCCACAGAAGAGTTTGGGGAGGGTTATGGGGGGCTTTCACCCTAAAAAGCCAGCTGCACCCCACAGTTGTAATGCCTCCAGAATGGAAGGTGGGATCCACCCTCAGGAGTGGGATTTTAGGAGGACTTCAGAAGGAATTCAGCCCAAAATGAAGGCAGCATCCCCCACATGCATATGCTGTGGGAAAAGAGGTGGGACTCATCCTCGAGACCCCCAGAGCAGGATTTTGGGAGGGTCTGAGCCCAGAATGAAGCCTGAACCCCCCCACTATGAGAGGAAAGGTGTGATTCCTCCCTGTCAGACCCACAGTGATGTTCTGGGGGGTTTCACCCCAGAAGAACCCCAACCCTGGTGTCACCTGCAGCACAGCGTTGGCGTAGTCGTTGGCCTTGATGTTGTTGAGCCCCACGATGCCAGGCAGGTACGTGGTGCCATCGTAGGCCCGCGACAGCTTGGCCTGCTTGTCCAGGTGGGCGATGTGCTGGGCTGTGAACGTGGGCTTCAGCACGTACTGTGGGGGCAGAGACCCTCAGAGCCTGGGA